TAGTCTTCAAAATGAAATTACACGCGTAATTCATTCAATTACCGTCGACGAACTGCAGAGAGTGTCGCGTAATTTATTTGTGAGATGCGCGGCATGTTTGCAAGCAGAAGGAGGTCACTTTCAGCACCTGTTATAAACCACGGTAAGTTATCTTTTTACTGTATTCTTATAAATGTGTGCATGTAGAGCAACTGATGGACGGAGACTCAGCGACACCACTACACTCACGCTATCGGGGAACGGCACTGCAGTCGCGGGGAGGAGTTGCATCCGTTCTGCGGTGGTATGACTCACGGCAAATTGCAGCCACGGCGCGCACTTGATTGTACGCACTGTATATAACACATGTGGCAGAGATACAGACTATCACTGAACAACTAATAACCCAGAAATTAAAACAATGGAAATTTCTTTTTATCAAGAAACAAAACCAAACAACTTGATTAAGCTCAAGCAATAAATATAAACAATAACAAAAACTACCCTACAGTTATGAACCACATACACATATAAAATTTACACAAGAGGAAACCTAATTACTGAGGAAAGGACTGAAATACAATTTACACTATAAATAAAGCGGATAAAAAATTAGCTCTCGAAGCTGAAACTGCAATAAGTAATCTTATGTGATGGGCTCAAAACTATTACAAACATGCACAAAAAAAAAAAAGGGACATCAGCAAAGAAGACAACATAGACAGTAATAGAAATAGAAACCAATGGAAATAAATGAAATATGTAAGAAACAAAATCTCAGCAAAGGAACTCACTTTAACAAAAGCAGACAAAGGAAAACATTAGTTATTCTCACACCAAAAGATGACACCTTTAACATAATTAGCAATATACTAGTGAACAACTTACAAAGCAAACTTACAAAGCAACAAAGACATCAAAAATGAAATATGACACATACAGTAAACCCTCACTTGCTATTAATCTGGATCAACATATGAAAAATAAAACAATTCTGTTCACAGGTGAATACATACTTTATAAGACGTGTGGGTTTTAGGAGCAAGACGGATTAGAGCAGGATGGCTTTCAGACTGTGTTGAGGGCAGCTGGAGGGACTGAAACCATGAAAGAAAATTTCCAGGATTGGCTTGAACTGGATGAAGGAGTCCCTGGATTTCAGCTTCTGACAAAGAAAGAATCTGCAGCAGTGATATATATTTTTTCATCAGCACTATCTGTATATTATTAAATTTTCCACTTTTTTGTTCTCTAAGTTTGTTTGTCCTTTAGGGTTATCTTTTGCTTCATTAATCCAGATTGCTTAATCCAGATTACATCTTCCCCCTAATTAATCACAATTAGCGAGGCTTTACTGTATTACAAATAGTCATGAAAAGACTACTTCTGATTTGACATACAAAACTATAAGCAACTTGATGGACTAGCCATGGGTGCTCCACAACCAGCGGAAACATATTGTGGCATGTCTGCCGAAAGCCAGGATAGTTAGAGATAGCCATTGTGAGGCAATAGCTCTGTAAACACATTTCCATGGCTACCACACTTACACGCAATGGAGGATGCGTTGCAACACAGCTTTGGGAAACTTCCTTGTGGTTCTGCCAGGCAACATTAGTTTCGGAGTCTCGATTGGTATGACTAGCTGGGGCTGGCAGCTAAGGTCCCATAAAGGGCAATGGCATATTTCACCATTGGAGCCTCTCACATGGCGGCATTATGACTCTCAGGTACTCCTAAGATTTCCTGGGACTAATGCGGGAGAGCACTCATATATGGGTAGCTCTGGCTACTTGAGTTGTCTCCCTAGAATACCAATCAGGTGCCGTAAGCCTTCGGGGTCAACACTCTAAAATTGTTTAACCAACTCTGGTCACAACAGTATGGTTAATTAGCATTGCACTCCCACTAATCACCTGGGATACACCCCTCCCCCTGAAAGGGCACTTTAGGTCCTGGAGGTTCATGAGGATTTATTCTCAACAGGGCCAAACCACCTAAGCCATGGTGAGGCATCATGCCAAGGGCTGCGTGGCACTGGGGTGGAACTTAGCCAGTGTCATAAATGATCCCCTTGGGGCACCAGGCAGCACCCCGTTGTATTTATGCCTTCCACCCATATGGGGTACTGTGGGTAGTGACCTCTTAAATCCCCATTACTCATGGGACCAATATGGAAACAAAAAAGAATATAAAAACCGGTCCTCAGGACCTAAAATGAAAGAGGGATTCCACTTCAAGGAGATCCCTATGAGAACTACTTCAGCAGGGGGCTGGAAGCTCTAGTACATTGTTAAGGGCCTGGTTGCAACCAGTGAACCTGCTGCTGAGATTTCAGCCAAAGGCAGGGACAAACCAGTGGTGAGAAACCTGCCTCTTCTTGGAAGACAGTAATACTGACACACCACTGCAAGGGGCTAGTATTTCTAACATACCTACATAAGGAGGTCTGGGATACCTAGTCTCTGGAGTAGGTGGACTCTGTCTGGTGAAGGCAATGTGTGGATGGCTAGATGGAAATTGAAAAAGGCAAAAGCAAGGGCAAGCAAAGCAGGAACTGGGGGCATTCAGCAACCAGGGAATGCTGACATGCTAAAGCAGAGTGAAACCTTGACTGAAATCCTTAAGAGGCCTAGGTCAGAGGGTAGTATTCCTACAAAAATGGTCAGAACTGCAAAACCTCTAGGGACTCTAGGGAACCAGGGACCCACAAGGATGTGCTGACCAACATAAAGATAGCTATCTTCAAGGAACCCCATCCTGAAGACAAAATAACAGAAGACAACCTGAACAATATTCTCGAGGAACTGGGAAGGGAATTGCATGGAACTCCTTAAGGAGAACTACCACACCTAAAATCTTACAGACTGGAGGGAGGTGCATTAATATATATATGCACCGCCCAACAGTCTGGTCAACGGCTCGACCGCCCGTCACTCAGGCTACCAAACCCAGGGAATGGTCTTCATGAAACTCCAAATCTGAGCAACTTTGCCTTGCATATTACCATACCTGAAAATATGTTAACTATAGAAATTTATAACCACCATCCTATGAACTTTAATTGACAGCCATAAAGGCAGCCTGAAGTAATAACACTGTTTAGTACACAAGCTTTCATAATGGTTGGTAAGAA